CTTCCGAGCTTTTGGATTCGTGCTGGAGCCCATCCTCAGGGAACGTGTGTGTGTGTGCGCGCGCTTTGGGCTGTTCTCCATGTATTTATATGGTGCCTGTTGTGTATGTGGCTTTGTAGATGTTGATTGGGGTGTTGATGGCTGGCGACCGCCTCCTAAATACTTGATAGGCTGGTGGTAAATTCAGCACTCCCGTTGATGGGCAAAGGGCCCGTTTCCCAGGCTTCAATAAATTCCCTGGCTGTTTTTGTACCTGCTCGTCCAACAATCTTAGTAGCTGCGAAATTGAATGTATGTACTTGTTCATTGCAGCGTGAGGCTACCACTGAGTTCGGGTCTCCTCCTTGTGTTCTTGCAATCTGGGGGTTGGCTTCCTCCCCGTCCGTCCTACATAGTCACAGGGGCAATCCATGCAGGGGATCCGGTAGATTACATTGGAAGTATCTCTCACCTCCAAGTGATCTTTACAATGCATAATTTTTCCTCGTATGGTAGCCTCTAGGCGGTGTGCGATGCCCACTTGCAGGTCTCGGAAGCTGCGTTCTACTGCTTCCGAAATGTTTTTGATGTATCAATTTCCTGGTATTTCATAGCAAACCTGCTTGTGTGAATACTCAAACCAAGGGAACCAGCTCAATGTCGCCTACCTGCGTGCAGGCTTCTGGATTTCACAGAGTTCCTCTTCAGAGAGATAATATTTCTTTTATCCTGCTTGTTTCGCAACCTTTTTCAGAACGACGTGGAGAAAGTGGTGGTGGTCATCCTTGATAAGGAACACCATCCAGTAGAAAGATTCGTCTTTGAGATCATGCAGCCACCATTGCTGGCCATCAGGTGAGGGTCCTCGTTCCTAAACCCCGAATGCTGGCCTGCTGGTCCTCGTCACACCCACCAAATTCTGGACGGCAGGAGAACTTGATTTACCAGTCTTTCCTCCACAAAAACTCAGCCACCATTTCTGGCTTATCCTCCAGAATGCGAGGAGAGCAAATATTCAAGACTGCTGAATGTAGGAACAAAAGAAGTATTGATTTGCAAATATAATTAATTAAACCCATGGAAAAACATCCCCTTAACATACAGATTAGAGCAGTGGTTCTCAACCTTTTTAATGCCACGACCCCAACCGATCATAAGTCGAGGACTAAACCAGTCATAAGTCGAGGACTAAACCGGTTGTAAGTCGAGGACTACCCAACCGGTCGTAAGTTGAGGACTTTCCCTGCCTGGGAGCGCCGCGCATGCGTGATTCCGCCCCCTGCGCCGGCCGAGGCGTAGCTGGCAAGCGGCAGAGACGGAGCAGGCCGACCACCAGCTGGCCCAGCCCAAGGGAGGTAAGGCACCCGCCGGAAAAGGGGAAAAAAATGGCGGACAAAAAAAATGGCAGACAAAAAAATGGCGGACAGCCTTGCTTGGCGACCCCCATGAAATGGTCGATCGACCCCAAATGGGGTCCCGACCCAC